TAATTAGCCAACAAAGTATTAATATAAATCACATGACCCTAATAGACTTAATAATTAAATAACAATTAATTATTTTGATATTTTTATTTACAATTATAAACAAGTATTCAATTCTTCTCTATTTAAGGATTTAATTTATTGGCTTTTAATTAATCAGCATTCTTAATCTTCTTTATATGCGCATGAATTTATATTGATTAATTTATAAATTCACTTTTTATTTGTTTAGAATTTTTATAAAAATATTTTTTAGTCTTTCGTAATTTACAAGTTTTTTGCCGTCGATATTAAAAGCAAATGCGTATGACCTTAAAAAAGCTGTTGTATCTGTTAAATATTAGCATGGGCGGTGGTTCACCTTGACCGTACTTGGCGTCATCTTTTCCGTTTCACCAACCTGCTTTTATTTTATTTTATTGCCTGCCAGGATGTGTATCTAATCTATAATAATGTAATCTAATCTGGCAATTTTGTTAAAAAAAATTAAGTCAATTTTGCGATAAGCTTAATCGATAATTCGTTCAATTTTCAAGGACCGAATTTAGCTAAAAAAATTTAGTTTGGAAAAAAAAATATTGCATTAGTTTTTAGAGTAAAAATTTTATCGGAGAATCAAGCGGATTATAGCAACGCGTGTAAATTTTTAATAGGGAACAATTAATTATGAAATACCGTGTAAATAAACTTCGCAATGGTGAAATTAAAACGTATTTAATTGAAGAATATATAATATAATAGTAGAATTTCTCTTTTTTTCTTTTATTGTTGGATCAGCCGAAAATTAAATTTGGAATTTTTAGAAAACTTAATTCTTGAATTAATTATAGTATTAACGTCAATAAAATTCTGAATACAAAAAAAGGAATGTTCAATTTTGAAATTAATTTATTTATTGAGAGAATTATTTATTTTTATGTGAATTAAAGAAATTATTTCGTAATTATTTACAAGTGGGGTCCACTATTTTAATTTTTATTTTTTTTAACGAAATTTTTTTTTGATATATTTTTTTTTTGAAAAACACAAAAAAATGAACAATTAAAAAAAAATTTGATTACCACAATTTTAATATTATAAATTTATTATAATATTCAACTTTTTTTTTTTTTAATTGTTTGTTTTTTTATGTACTTTCATAAAAAAAAAAAATATATCAAAAACATCAATAATAGATAAAATAGAAATTTTATCAAAAAACATGAGAGCTAAAAGTTGTTTCCAACTTTGAAGACAAAAAAGCTGCGGCTGCCGAATTTTAAAACACAGTAACTGCAAAATTTTTATACCTGATTTTTTTTTAGTATTGCTGCATTTTTTATAACTTTTAGATGAAACTAAAGTTAGCCGTCAGCTGTCAATTTTAAAAATTTTAATAACAATAAAAAAATACTTCTAAAAATTTTCACTTATAATTTTTATTAAATTTCAAATATGGAATTTTTAAATTAAATTTTTTTTATAATAATGTAATTGCTATGAAATTCTAAAAAAAATTTTTAATGTCTGTCAATTTCAGTATCATACTTTTAGACCTTAATTTCAAGTATTTTTTCTTAAAAATATTTATATTCAAAAATTTTCTATTCATAAATCAAATTTTTCATCAATTTGGCGGCTAAACTTTTTTTTAATAAGAAAAATTGGAAAAAATTTTTAAATGTTAGTTACTATGTTTTGAAATTGGGCAGCCGATAATTACCAATTATTTTTTGGTTAAATTATAAATACAAGTAACTCAATTAGTAGTCAAGGAATAGTAATTTAATTAAAATAAATTTATTGACTAAATAAAAAAAAAAAAATTAGTGTTATTTCTTTTAGATTCAAGTTTTGTGGGTACAAATGCTTGTAATTAAGGTTTTAAATATATTAAAAAAAAAAAAATATACTGAGGCTGGGGTTTGAACCCTGTTCTTTTTGAGTGAAAGTTTAGTGGTTTTTGCGCTTAGCTACTCTAAAAAATTGAGGTAGCTCCTTTTTAAAAAATTTTTTTTTAGAAAATTTCTAAAAAATCCCCTCTTTATACCAGTAAGAAAATAAATTTAAAATTAAATCGCAAAGTCCTTCAAAAATTAAAATCCTTTAGTTTTACAAAAGAGTAGTCAAAGTCGCTTCTACAGTATTGTTTTAATTAAGTAAATTATCGAATATTTTTTTCAAAAGTTAGAATTGCATAATTTACATTAATTTATATTGGTTAATTATTTTTTATTCATTTTTTTGATGGCAATAAAATTTTTAAGAAAAAAAAATCATTTTTTAAGATTGTGAAGATATTTAACAATCTCAAGAAGTTATACTTAATTTAAAAAATAATTATTGAAGCAAAGAAAAATTTTAATTTTAATAAAACAAAATTTCTAAAGTATTTATTAATAGTTAAAAAATTTGAAAATAAAATTTTCATCCAAATTACAGTTTCATCCAAATTTTCTGTACAGTTAAAAAATACAACCTAAGATATTGTTCAATAAAAAAGTGAGAAAAAAAATTTTTTTACAAGATTTAGATTAATAAATTTAATATCAATCATTTTTTATTATTAAATTTCAGATTTCTTATTATAATAATAAGTATTTCAAATTTTCTACTAAAAATTATGACTAAAAAATTTTCAGCTTAAGAATATTTTTTATGACCAACTTTTAAAATAAATTTAATTTAAATCACTAAAAATTCGACTTAAAGAAGAAATAAATCTCTAATCAAAAATTGAAATAAAACTAATTATTAATTAAAAAAAAAGTAATTTAATAATTTCACTTAAATAAAATTCTAAAACCCAAAAAACTAATCATTATATTCCCAGATAATTTAATAAATCCATTCCAATTAAAAAAAGAAATTTAACTATTATATTTTTATCCAAATGAATATTTATTTTCTCGGGACGAAAAAAGAAATTTATCGGACTGAACTACTAAATAATGTATCTAATAATTGTTATTTAACTTTCTTAATTGCGACGTGGGTTTTTTATTTTTTGTCTACGGAAAAGAAACCAAAGTCGATTAAAAAATAAAGTATTTACGTAACAAGTTGCGATTAGGTGCAATAGTAATTAATAATACTACCGTGAGAACCAAAAAAAAAACCAACAGTGTAATTAAAATTAAGCGAGAGACGGTGATTGACAATAGAAGGAAGATCAAGGTGAGGTTTTGTGAAGATGATCGTATCGGTAAGCGATTGGATGTGATGGTCAGCCTACTTTCTCCAGATCGAGGTTTTTTTAATCGTTTTCTTTCTACTGGTTTTCAAAATAAAATATATATAGTAAAGATCGGTGAATGTTTCCCACTCTTACCCTTACCCGGTTCATCTTATGTTCCCTCTCTGCCGGTAGTAACCCAAGGTGCTCATCCTCGTCTCCGATTCTCTTTTTCTCCAGGCGCATTCTTCCTCCGGTTCACAATACAAGTATCCGGCTCACCGGGACATTACTTGTCGCTGTCCATTAGAATCTATAAAAGCAAGTGTAAATCCGAGGGTGACCATTAGTGACGATCGTGTGCTCTCAAAGATCGGGCTTTTTTAGTTTATAAATCGAGGAATGCTTCCGGTCTATCGAATTAGTTTTTATTGAAAAATTTTGGTGTGTGAATTTTGTTGTTTATTACCGCGCATTTATAATGGATAATTACAAGGTGAGGAGTTTGTTTTATTTATTTGCTTTTTTTTCATTTTCCAAGTGCTCGTTTTGTTTTATTGGTTTTAATGTATGGTAATTTGTATGAAGATAGTCTCGGAGTCATTTCACAGATCATTAACTCTAATAGTTGCTATTACTTCTATGATTTAATTTAATTTCATGGAACAGCAAAAGTTAGTTTTTTTTTTTTTTTATTATTAATTAAAGGCTATTTTTATTAAGTGGTTAAAATTTTTTTGGAGTTGTTAGAGATCATTTTTTTGGCGAAAAAAAAAAATTATTTTTGTATCAATTTTTTATATATTAAATTTTGAAGAATTTTTTTTAATAATAACGAGCAACCTTGCAGTCACTATGTAACTGCCGTGACTTGTGAACTATAAATACATACAATTTTAATTTATTAAATAATGACTTTTGTTAAATTGCACTGTACTTTCTTAAATATTGACGTTTTTAATGATATAAACTCATTTCGATGTTACACTTATCAAGAGCTTTCATTTGAGTACCCACATGCATTTTGATATATTTTTCATATATACATATATATAAAATATATAAATATATGAAAAAGTGATGTGGGTACTCAAATGAAAGGTCTTGATGAGTGTAACATCGGGATGAGCTTATATCTTTAAAAATGTCAATAGTTAACAAAATACAAGGTCATTTCTTAATTATGTATCTAGAAATAGAGCATTTTCGATTACAGCCTAAATAATTATCATTATAAATTGACCTTCGGTAAGAATGATATGAAACCTTGAAAAGGCAAAATTCAAATCAAGACCTTTGTAATGACACTAAATTTCATTAAAAAAACCGATTTTATTATGATTATCCTGAACACAAAATTCCCTTAATAATATAGATTTGTAACATTTTTTAAAAAGTATTTTTTCTTTAAATGAGTTTCTATTTCAAATAAAATTAAAAATTTTTTTTTTGCATCAAATTAAAGTTCTTAAAATTATTTTTAAATATCTAATTTAATAAAAAATTTTTAAAAGTATCAAAATTTTTTTTCTCTAAATTAATTAAAACAAATTTTTATTGCCAATAAAATTAAATCTTATATCAAGATAAAAAAATTTTTTCCACCGTTTTTAACGATAAAGACTTTCACCGTAAAAGAATTAAAAATTTAAAGGTCAGAAATCATGTCGGAGAAAGATTGTTCGAGATTCATACAGGAAAAAAAAAAAATTATAAGTATTGAAAGTAGAAACAAGTTTACAATTAAAAACAAGTTTGATAAACATAAATCATGACAATTGGTCTCTATATAATCACTTAGCAAATTACCGATCTCTCGATAAAACTACAAAAGATAGATCCGAGGGTGATGAAAGTAAGCGCGGTGAAAGTGAACAAACACCTCCATATAATTAACACTACCTATTCACAAATTACAGATAACAATTCTCCTAGCAGTCCTATTGGCGGTGGACAGCGCCCGAGGCGTCTTGAACAAGAAACCCGCGGAAGCGGATCTCACGATAAAAAACCCGCCCTTGAAATCCTTGAAACACGCTCAGGACAGAATAAGCAGCTTTCCTCACGGAAAATTCGGGCTTCCGAAGTTCAACTTCGACAGTTTTGGCCCGGAGCACCACTACCGCCCGAAAAAATTCGCTCCGAGAATAGAATTGTCGTCACTGAACAGCTTGACTTATGCGTCAGGCAACAACTTTTTCCGCAAGCCGTCCTTCCCACACCCGAGTTTCTCTCTAGGATCACGTCACCCAGGACCAAATAACTGGCGAACAGGATTCAAGTCCCACACACCAGTGATTCCAATTTCCTTAGAAGCCTACGGTCCACCCAATAAGCCCGCATTGCCTACATTTTCTTCAGGATCTTCACCTTTCGCCCAGAACCCTAACCACAACCATGGTTTCCCACAAAATGGTTTCTTCAACAATGAACTAACCCATTCGCCGCTGCAGAACAACGCACTAGCGCCGCCTACTCAACCCGACATCAAATACGACGGATGGCAGCCAATCGCCGGCAACATAGTGGCGTCCAGTCTGGAGCAACCTCCTGCTTTTCACGACAACGTTCCGCAGCCTATCTTCCACGATTCTAACGCAGCGGTTCCCAATTTTGACGCAAACGTTCCTCCTTACCTAGACTCTGGAAATGTTCCCCAAAATTTCCAAGACAACATTCCCCAGCAAGTCTTCCACGACACCGGATCTGCCCCAACCAACAACGGGCCTTCAAGTCTCCTGAACCCAGAATTCGGATCAGCGCCAAGTGATTCCTACGGCGAACCAATTTTCAACCCCGAGGACCACAATTTGAAGCAATCTGTGCGATCTAGAGACGAAACTGCCTTACCACCACCGCCATTACCCGAACAGGAGCCATTCCACGTGCAAGGACAGCCAGACAATAGCGTTCCAAGCTTGCCTAATCCTCAAGAACAAGTAAGACATGCAGGACTATCTGGACCAGGTCAAAATCCCATCAATCCTTACCCAGTTCAGGAAGACTCCTACTTGTCGCCTCCGCCTTCTTCTTTTGCATCCGACGGACCTTATCCCGCCGCTAGGAAGCCCTTCTCAAGACCTCCTGGACCTGACTTTGGGTTCATCAGGATTCCAAACTTCCGAGCGCCTTCCAGACCTGCTAACCACCCGCAAATGCTCTTCCCAGTGAGCTTAACTCCTCCAAGGACTTGGGCACCAGTCCAGTTTCGGCAGGAGGATCAAAATTATGGATCTCACAGCGCCGCTTCGGAGTTTTCCGAAAATTACAACGTTCCTTCTGTGAGCTTGCCTCTGGAAAAAGACAACTGCAATGATAAGCCGCATAATCACTTGGATTCGGACGTGTCGATGAGTTATAACCAGATCGTTGTGAGCGAGGACTCGCGGGCTAACAAAATCTCCGGTGATCCTCTGTCGGGGTTACCATCGGAAAACAACTACGCGGGATTAAGCGACGCGGATGAAGCAAATAACAAAGTTCAACAAGGACAATCAGCGCAGGATTACGGGAATCCAGAGGCCGTAAATCAGCAGTTTAAGCAGGAAGCCATCGCTATTTCGCAAAATGCTAATGATGATGGGTATCAAATTCAGGGAACCAAGGGAGTTTATTCTCTTCAAATACAACCGGCGGATGGAAGCCAGGGAACTGAGGATTCTGACAGCTCGATTAGACACGAGCAGTTATTGTCTGACGGACTTTTGCAGAATATTCTGGCCGCGATTGAGCAGCCAGGAAGTGAAAATGCCAATGACCAGTCGGCTTATCAGCCACAAGTCGCGGCTAGCTTCGATCTCAGTGCTGCGTCATCACAGTTAGCGTTATCGGCTGGTGATAATCAAGATAGTCTTCCGCTTAATGATAAAAGTGAACAAGCGCTCTTTGGTGAATCGCAAAATTAGAGTGTTTTGTGGACTTTTATGAATTTTTTTTTTATTTAATTTTTCAATTTTAAGAAAGTATTATTATTATTGTCATGATTATTTATAGGGATAAGTTGCACTGTAAAAAATTGGGAGTTTATTTCAAGTGGATTTTCACTTACACAGTAAAAAATTTTGCGTCATTGCGTCAAAAAATTTTGTGTTAAATATTTAACACTATTTTGTGCTGATTTAATAGAATAAATGTTAAATTTATACATAAAAGTGTTAAATATTTAACACTAAGTTTTTAGACGAAATGACGTAATATTTTTTACTGTGTAAAATATCGGAGTGAAGAAATAATACACTTGTAAAATTTAGAGGATTTTTTTAACTAAGTGAAAATGAATTTTACTGTGAGTAAGAAGTTTTTACACTAAAATAAATTTTAATTAGCTGAAACAAGTTTCATATTCAAAATTACTAACAAATACTTCAAAAAATCTTCAAGTTTGAGTTTGGAAATTTTTTTTTACATTTTTAAAAAAATTTGATTAGGACATTAAATCAAATTTTCATAAAGATTATTTTTTTTTCAAGTCTTGTTAATAAATCCTGACGTAAAACGTAAAAAATCATTAATTTTACTACATTTAATTCAATAAAATTAATTACTGAAATTAATTTTTATAAGACAGTTTTTTTAATTCTTAAAAAATAAATTATTATAGAAAAAATTTATCAAAAAATGCGACTAGTAAAAATTAAAAAAAAAATTAATTTAATTTTTTTTAACGATTAAAAACTTATTAATTACATTAATTTCATAATTTTTAAGCGAACTATTTATTTATTTTTATTCAATAACAGAAATAAATAATTCACTTCGCTGATTATTTTCTAATTAATTTAAATTAATTAAAAATCATTCACTCCAAAAATTTTTCCAGTGTATTGATTGTAATAATTTATAATTTATAATTTATATGTGTGTAATTCTGTTGTGCGAAGGATTATTGTTTAGATTATGTATTAATTTAATTTAATTTTATTTAATAATGAAAATTTTTAAATATGGTAATTTTTGAACGGAGAAAGAGAACCGATCCAGGTCAATGGGACATACGCTTAATCGCCGGTGGCATTATATACATATATATTCGAGGAATGGAAGTTAACTGGTGACGCTGTCCCCTATGCCATATTAAAGATGTAGATGGGTTTGTATGTATGATAGCCAAGGTGAAAGTTCAGTCAACTGAGTAAAAATAATACCACTTTCTTCTACGCACTTAATCGTAAATAAAACCTTGATGTGAATTGTCGTTACTGCCTTTCTTATCGCAGCAATTCTTGGTTCTGTATTTAAAACTTGTTTTTTATTTATTTATTTTAGTTTTTTTTTTGTATTATTGAATGATATTAAATAGTGTATTTATGGCAATAATAGCAGACTTTTTATAGAAGTCTGGTGTTTTATACAAGAACAAATACATTTTTAGGAACAAGTTTTTATGAATTGTAAAATTATATTCAGTGTTTTATAAAAATAAAAAAAAAATTGTATTAAATTTAGCAAACTTCAAAAGACTTGTAATTTTTTTTTATTTTAAAAAAACTTAATGTTTGTTTTTTGTATTTTGAATATTTTTGTAATCTGAGTCTCAAATAAATCTTTAATTTTTTATGTTAACGTTGTGGGCTAGTTTTATTTTATTTTAGTTTCTAAGTTTTAGAAATATAAAAGAAAGCCAGAATTTAATCGTGAATGGAAAATTCCAGGATTTAAGTAAGACATTTTTTTTTTTTTTTTTTTTTTTAAGACTTGGGATAAAAAGCTGCGGGATTAACTAGGGGCTCTATTGAAAGTAAGTTTGATGAGTTTTAGTTAATTTATTGTAAAGATATAGAAGTTTATTTTTGTTAGATTTATTTTTTGGCGAAAGAATATTTAGCCTTTAAAATGAAGTTTCAAAATTGTTAATTTTAAAAATTTTAATATAGGGGTGTGCAAATACAGACAAAAATTGTGCGTCAAAAAAAATTTGTGTTAAATATTTAATGCTTTTTTATATTGATTTAATTTTAAGAAAATTAACACCAAAAAGTGTTAAAAACTTAACAAAAAATTTTTTGACGCAATCACGCAAAATATTTTACTGTCTATAAGGATTTGTTAGCATTTAAGAAGATTTCTTTGTATTTAAGAAATCATTTTTTAAACATCATTTCTTCGCATTTAAATAACATTTCTTAGTGTTTAAGAAATATTTCTTAAACACTAAGAAATATTTTTTAAATACAAAGAAATCTTTTTAAATACTAAGAAATCCTTCTATCAGTGTAGTGTAGATTACTACACTGATAAAAAATTTAGCTTGATTCAAGAAAAAATATCTTGAACCTAGAGTACCATTTTCAAGGAAATCATTTTCTTGAGTCAAGAGAAAAAATTCTTAAGTTAAGAAAATTATTCTCAATTCAAGAATTTTTCCTCTTGCCTCAAGAAAATTATTTTTTTCAAAATGGTATTCTTAATTCAAGATTTTTTATTTTAAATCAAGTTAATTTTTTTATTAGTATACTCTAATAAGTTTGTAAAATATTCGAATCGAATTATTCGTTTATATTGTTTACATCCACAGATTCGGTAGAATCTGGCGCCAAGGTCCGTTCAAAAATCCCGTTGTAAACGGAGCGCCAGACTACCGACTGTGTTTACTGTAAGCAGAACGGTTTTTTTGAGGTTGCGAAATTTAATTTAATTCTACGGTAGTTTTTTCACTAATTTGTTCATTATAACAGTAGTTCATAATTTATTTTACCGTATTAATTAATTTATATTCACTTATCACAATTTATTTACTTGAAATTATTAAATTTTATTAGCACATACTATAGCTCGCTCACGAATTCAGATCCTGACTTTTTTGCGATGGGGAATATCAGCGCCACAGATTAGATAAAATAAAAATGTGTAGTAATCCTTCCTATAGGGACCGAGCCCGAGCTGTAGAGGCAGCACATCTGTCGGAAGTGGCGCACCCTGGTGTTAAATTTTCACAAAAAACGGGTAAAAATCTTGCAATTGTTAATGAAATAATCATAAAAAATAGGAAAAAATAGTTAATTACAGTTTTTAACGGGTAACAACCGATCGTATTCAAAGCAGAAACGATTGAAATTGTGAAAAAAATTTTGAACCTGTATATTTATGGAATCTAGTTGAAGAAAATCATTTAAATACCTCAGAAAACATGAGAGCTAGGTTATGGTTCACTCTAGTTGCGCTTCTATCGAGGTTATTTGTTTACCATTTTTCGACCGCGAACCACAGCCAGTCAGAGAAAAACATCAAAATTTCAGTAGTTGATTTATTTTACACTTTCAGCCCAGTGTAATTATATACTTTAAAGTATAACAAAATTATATTGATAAAAATACTGCCAAAAATATATCCATTTATTAAGATAAAAATTAATAAAAAGTGAAACTCGTGTTAAAATTCAAAATTTTTGCCCGTAATTTGTACATTTAAGTCACCAGTTGGCGTGACAGTCTACAGGCTCGGTCCCTATACGGAGTGCTACAAATCCCGGGAAATTCAAATTTTATACGTAATACACCCTCGTAGAGCGGCACATGTACGAAGTCGTACACATACTACAGAATAAATGAAGTGATAGTAATAATAATAATAATAATAATAATAATAATAATAATAATAATAATAATAATAATATTAATCAACGATATTTATTATTATTATTATTATTATTATTATTATTGTTTTTAAATTATTGAGTATTGAGGATTAGATTTAAATTTACAATTATCTCAATTACAAAATCTATATAAATATATAATATGATTGTATATATACAAGCAAAATCGTTTTTTCTTTAGATGAAATTCTTCCGAAAAAATTTGGGGTACTCAATGACGCGCGCCAAGTACGATAAAAAATTTTTTTTAATTTTTTAATTTTTAACAAATTTTTTTTCAATTTTTTCAACATTACGACGGTTTCTTGGTATTTTTTTGTATTTCACATCTTTTTGTAGAGAATGAAAATTATTGAAACGAGCCTAATTTTTTTTGTAAAGTGCAAATGTTATTGAGATGAGTTTTATGAACGTGGACTTGGCGCAATTTTTTACAGTGAAACTGTTTTTATATAAAAAGTACTTAAAAAATAATTAACAAGAAAACTTGTAGATTAAATTAGATATTGTTCATTTTATCACTAAATATCCCTTAGTTTGGCCTTGTTACCCAACAGCACCTTATTTGTCTCATACAGCTAAATTACAATACCCTAAAGAGAGCAATAACAAGAGCAAACGTCATATTAAATTTTACCAAAATGGTAGATTTAGTTATACTAGATATATTATTATTTGCTTTCTGATCGTAATAAATAATTACCTTACAACTGTTTATAGAGCACATAAAATATGTGCCGTTAAATAACCTTGTGCCTTCTTTTAATGTTTTGTTTGAGAAAACAAAAACAATTGTTTTATTATTCGTAGAATATCTTATAAATTCTTTTAAACTACAAAATAAAATTTCATGTTTTTACGCCTTTATATTGAGAAGAAAGTAAAAAGCAGTTTTCTAATTTTTTTCAAAGCACTATTCACGCTAGAGGCGTGCAAAAGAATAAATTGAATTTTAATTACAGATTTAAAATTAAAAACATTGACCGGAACTGAATTTTAGTTCTCCATTTTGTCAAGAATCAAAATAAAACAAAAATTTGGAAAAATATGAAAGGGGGAGGGATTTTTATTAGGATTTACGACAACGCTTATATCTTTAAGACTATTTAACATTTTTCAATAAAAATTTATTTAAATATTGTGAAGTGTACTTTCAATAAAATAAATAAAACATAATCAAGATACTCTTTTATTTTCTCGGTCAAAAAATATTCCCGAAACTCAATTATACACTGAGAAAAAAAATTTTCTTAGCGGAAAGTTAAAAATTAATTTGAATCAAGAGAAAAATTTTTGGACTAAGAATAATAA